TTACTGCGTTTCCGCCAGCTCTGCCTCTGCCAGGCATCATCAGGAAGTCTCTCTGTTCTGATAAAATACTTTCCTTTCCAGATTACTACAGTTCCAGATTACTACAGTTCCTTCCATAATCTTAAAACACTAAAAATAATAATTATTAAAAAAAAAATCCCTTGTCACTGAACAACACTGAAAAGCAGGAGTCATTTCGCAGCTCTCTAATGCAGAAAAAACATTACTTGTTCAAATCTGACAGAAAATATCTAGGCCTTGTAGAAAAACTTCATCAAACACAAAGCATCGAGGAGACATTGGTGATAGTTACACACAAATATGTGGCAGATTCTACGTCTTCATTCATGCCTTTAAAATAAGCTCCTGGGCTGCTCCATTTGAGAGCAGTCACTTCCAATGTTAAAACGTGCTTAAAATGTTAAGCGCTCAACTATCCTCAAATTAAATTGAGATATTTTTTCCTGGCATCTTCTTCAACCCTGTTATCCTTATTCTATAAGGACCAAGGCATCTGACGGCTGTACAAGAGATGAAACCAGACCAAAAAATAAATGAAAATTATCCGAGCAACAGGAAGAATCCTTTTGGCCTGGAAGTGAAAACCTTCAAAACAAAGTAAGAGGTGCCACAAAATCCATGGCCAGTACTCTAGCAAGTGAGGAGCTTCCAGCCATACTGACCTGCTATAGCATGGACTTCCAGCAGCACGTCAGCTCCTATTGAGTGTTACATACACTGAGATCATAAAAAGAAATGAATCTTCTCCAATCAAAATACTTGCCAGTGTCATCATGGGTAAAGGAAAATATTACTCTGCATTAACTTGTTTTCCCAAGCTTTGAAAGCTTAGAAAAATAAATCATTCTGATGAGCAGCAAGGAGTTTCACCACTTGCAGGACCTCCTGGCCAAGAAAAAAACCTCTGCATATGCACCCAAAAGTTATCCCCATGTGATTACATCTATCTGCCTTGTGTAAAGATCTTTGAGACATGAGCAATTATGGACGTGCAACTCCCTGAGGTAACTACCCCCAAGTAGCATCTACCTCTGGCTACAAGGGCCTCATCCAACCCAGCAGTGGGGGTAAATCTCATGAGGTTCCTGTGCTATGTTGGTGTGTTGGCTGATGTGGGGTGAGGTGAACTATTTCATTAACTATTTCAGCATGGCTTTAATGGCTGCAAAGCAGTAGGGTCTCATAGTTAAAGGAGGAAGACTCATTCTTGAAGGAAAAAAAAATTGTACTAGTCTAGGCTTCATGCAGAGATTAAAAGTTCCTACAACTTGTAGCCTGCATGCT